TGGTCTTTAACATGAGTACAAAAATAGAACAATATTTTTAAAATTTCTTTCTTTTATTAAATCTAGGGGTACTGAGTATCCCCGCCTGACGCCTGGCTACCGATACAAACGACGTCCACCATCGAAATGGACGGACGACTTAGTCAAGGCCGCGGGTTCCCGGTGGACGCAGGCGACTGCCGACTGAAGCTCCGTGAAGTCGATGAGGGAGACCTCTATCCAGCAGTGGACCTCACATGGCTGAAGAAATTCAAGCTCTTGACTAGTAGTTTTTTTTTGCCTTTAAGCAGTTTTAATTTTTCCACTAAAAAAATATATAGAAAAACAATTGCTACACTAAAATATTTTTAATATACAGAATTATAAAAAACTGGACTCTTAAAATTTATTTTGTCCTGTTAAAAAAGAAGTTAAGAACATTTTCATTACGTGTTTTTTTTGTTGTATATCAGAATGGAATTACATTCATAAAACGGTATTCAACTGCTTACGTTAATTAAGTTCATTCCTTATTATAACCAAACTCTTTGTTAGTCCGGGATTCTTTTATTTGCCGTATGTGACCTCTGCATATGTTCGTATAATCTGCAAAGTGAAGTGAAGTGGAAATGGACCAGTGGACCAGAAGCGTTTGCGTTGACGCTGGTTTTTTTATATATTCTTTATCTCATTTTTTCCTCAGCTGTAGACATGATTAGGTCAATGGGAAATGGATATTGAAAACTTTTACAAATACAATCTACTGAGTTCGAATTGTCTAAACATATGCTATACGAAACGTTTTTTAATTATATTTATAACTAGAAGACCTGGCGAACTTCGTATCGCCCTATAATAAAGAAATATCAATTACGTTTTTTTATTTATATTTTTGGAGTTTACCTGTAAGCCATAAATCTCCGTGTTTTGAAGTGCGACAGAATGATAGACATATTAGTTAGATGTCAAATCTAATGTCAAAAAAAACGTTTGTATGGGAAATAGAAAAGGGCTGTTTTTATAGTTTTCCCAGTAATGATACAATTTTTTTCAGCTTTTATACCTTCCCTGAACCTCCACGAACATTTCAAGACTAAGATAAGATAAATCCGTTCAGCTGTTCTCGAGTTTTAGCGAGACTAAGGAACAGCAGTCCATTTTTATATATATAGAAGATTACATATTTTAAATATGTATATATTGAAACTTAAACGTAACATACCTATTATTATAACAAAATATTATTTTAAAAAAGATCCTCACTTAATTGTAAAATTTTTAAATTTTATGACCGTTGTATATACTTTATAATATTTTAAGAATTCACAGTAAACACTTTATTTTACGTCTTTTTTTTTGTATCTGTATGGTATAATAATATATAACTAATTTTATTTAATTCAAAAGATATTTTAATAATTTATAAACGTTTATATAAACAAATCGGTTTAAAATATTACATTTTTTAATAATATAGATTATACAATCATATTTAATTGTATTATTGTCCCAATTCATTTTAAGAATTTTATGATCAGGTCTTGTTGAAATCATCATGGGACCGTCTCGAGAGTTTACTCTTACAAACAAATAAATAAATATCGAAATTTTAGAATTCAATGGTTTTTTATGGATGGCATTGAAATAGACCAAATTGAAGAGAGATCACAGAAGCATCAATTTTAAAATTTTTAAAGGAGGAAACAAATGTTAAAAAATTACAGACAAATTGATAAGCTATAAGTTCCTCCTTTCTTATAGTCGGTTAAATTAAAGCATTTTGCTTAATTGAAACAAGTTTTTCAGCAACCCGCACATTAATTACCATTGCTTATGAGTACATTGTCGTCATGAAGCTAATAAACAGGCCAACTACCCCATCACTGTTTCTAATTCCAAACAAAGCCACACTCAACATTTCTTCATATAGTAAAAGCTTCACAAAGAACCAATAAAGAGGGTAAAATAATAATTAGCATCGAACTTTTGCAATATCGGTTCTTATGGGATTAATTTATGACCCGACGCCATACAAGCCGACGACAAGTCTATACGAAAGTTTTATACGTTCTGACTTTAAAGTTGCTCATGTATGCCCTGATTTTATAAAACATCAGAAATTAATATTTACATTCTGAGATTTTAGAATCTTGTTTTTATTAGATTTCAGATTTTATATAATAACCTGATCTAAATAATAATAGATTGGTAGATGTCTCTTAAAAATGGTCGATGTTATGAAGTCCTTGTTATTGTTACTTTTAATTTGATGACTACAACAAACTTTTACTGCATATAAAAGCAGATTCATACTTATTTTGTTCCTTTGTTATCAACGGTCCATTAACGATGATAGCCACAGCTTTCATATATACCTTCAGAGTAATATCGTATTTATTATTTCTGTAAGAACAATTCACTTTTACGCTAAAACATTCAAGCTAGTTGGTTTGTACATTATGTTAGTACATTACTTACGGTGTATGCTATAATTACCCTTAAGGTTTGTATATTATACATATCGTATTCAGTGTTACAGATGTATATAGTAATGATAGTTGAAGTTGCATGTTCGTGTGAAACATTTCTTGTAATTCAAAAGGCATTATTACTACTATTGTTTCTGTTAAATCGCCATTTAGACCTGTATCGATATCTTTTGAAAAAGAAAAAAAATATAGTAGGATGAATAGTTTTAGTTGTTTAATGTAAATTTTCTGTAAATTAAACAAAACAGGAATTTTTAGGTGATCTTCAGAGTACACAACAATTTTAAATAAATTGAAAGAGCATTTTCCAAACTATATCGAGTGTCATTTCATTAAAAGAGATATGATTATTTTATCCAAACATGATATTGCAAGTAAGAACCATCGGAAAATAGAGCTTTCAACGAACAGAAAACATCTCAAATTTTTGATATTTTGACGGGTGATTTTTCGATTAAAAATCGATATTAATTTAGAATAAGCTAAAAAAATCAATATTTGTAATCAAATAAATTACAGTGTATTTAAGACATCATAGGGTAAATTATCACCCAATTTCGTGACAAAATATTGTTTTTTGTAAAAGTTAAAAATAAAAAACCAAAAACTTGTTTTTTTGCATTTATCATAATTTTAAGGTTATGTGTAAAAAATTAAAATACTAAAGTTTTAGATCTTGTTATTACCTACAACTCTGCAATATAACTTTTTTCGATAGGACTTTGTTTTGCCGGAAATCGAGAAAACCCATTTTTTACCCTTAAATACCCAGCCCCATACCCATCACAACCTCAGATCCCCGTAAATTATATTTCCTTTAATTTTTATAATATTTTCCTCATTTTCTAAGGGGTTTCATTCTACAATTGTTTTTACTTTTCTTTAATTTTTCTTTAATTACCTTTTTCTTCTATACCTACTCCCTGTCTAGGGGAGACGGAGGCGGTTATGTGAGATTCTAGGGCCCGGCCCTTTTCTTTTCAGAGTTATCAGTTAGTTAATTTATAACTTTATAAAATATTTCTCAGTTATTTTACTAGGAAAATGTGTATACAATATGTTACTTAATAAATTTTTATTTTTGGTTATTTATATACTTTATTTTACACAAACATTTTTGTTCATAATTATTTGAATAGTTAATTTGCTTATATTTATGTTTATAATACTGAAATTACTGAGGAGTTACGATGGGTTTGAATGAATTTCAGTAGTTGAGAATAAAATATGGCAATTTTTCTTTCAGTAATATTAAAATCGAACGGAATCATGGAATTTGGATGCAATTTTCCCAAAAGTATTCATACTTTCTGAATTATAATGAATTTCAATCCAAAGCGAAATATTTTTCACACATATATATATATATTGAATTGTTATCCATAAAACTTACTGTAAAAAATAAATATGAAAATTTATAAAAAATAATGTATAAATAACTCATCATTATCATGTTAGCGCCTATCCCGGTCGCTCGTCCAGCTAAGGGCGGGAGAACCCAGGGTCCGCATTCCTCACCACTGCAGTCGCGTGGAAGACACCACTGACCAAACCTTGATGGAATGTCCAGCGTGGATATCCGAGCGTAGCCAACTCATTCACGTGGTTGGCGCAGACCTTTCGTTGCCGGCAGTGGTCCAGGCCATGGTCGGCAGCGAGAGGGCATGGCAGGCGGTGGCCGACTTCAGCGAGAGAGTCATCTTGCAGAAGGAGGCTGCTCAACGAGTGAGGGAAGACGACCCCTCCTCGGCGCCGTTGCACCGACGAAGGCTGGGTTGAAGGCAGCGGGCTTATGCTCGCAACCTGCCTCCCCAGTGAGGAAGCCTCCGGGCGTCGGTGGGGAACCGGCGTCCGGGTAACATAGGCTAAGGGTAAGAGCGGCGTGTTTGGCGCTGACTCGATAGACTTCGTACTGCCTCAATCGATAAATAAATATTTTTTTATTTATTTTTTGGAGTTTACCTATAAGCCATAAATCTCTGTGTTCTGAAGTGCCACAGAAAGATTGACTTATTAGTTACTTGTCAAATCTAATGTCAAAAAAAAACTTTTGTATGGGAAATAGAAAAGCTCTGTTTTAGAGTTTTCCTGGAATTCATTAAATTTTTTCAGCTTTTAAACTTTCCCTAAACCTCCGCAAATATTTCAAGACTGAGATAAGATGAATCTGTTCAGCCGTTCTGGACTTTTAGTGAGACTAACGAATATCAATTTATTTTTATATATATAGATAATGAATAATATTAATTCTTAATTCAAAAATGACAGATGATGAGGTGGATTGGGTATTTTTAATACATTATGTAACAAATAAAACTAACTTACTTAAAAATATTAGTAGATGTAAAAAATTGTATTTATGTATTGTATTTATGTATTTAAATTTATTAATGTATAACATTGACAAGTGTTTAAAAATAGTGTTCGTTTATCTACATTAGATGTTAATCGATTTTAGTGCAGGTGTTTAGAATATGCTATTTGAGAGCTTGGGATGGAAATTGTGTATAAGTGCAAAATTATTTTCGCTTTTCAGATCGTCTGTTCTTGAAAATGCCATTCCATCTCATCTCGTCTACCCATGATCATGGTTCTATTGAATCCTACTAATTCTCTTTCAATGGGGTCTTTAAATAAAGGAAGCCAAAGCTTTTCTTGTTAACATACGATGTTAAAGTAATTAGAATAGTCTCATTCAGAAATCGAATCTTTTGAAATTCTTTTCGTGTAATTTTTAATTTGAAAACGTTTACATTTTATGTTAAATTATGTATATATCGGATTTATTACAGATTCGTTGATTTTAAAAGAGAGGGACGCCAGCCTCGCTGACGTAACAAATATCACTTCTTCTAGAGCGTTCCCTGATATTTTAAAATGAAACTGCAATTGTTCTTAATGCTCCTGTATTTCTCATAGATTCTTTATAATCACATACTTCAATGATACGCACTCACTGAACTCTGAATTCTCAATTCTGAAGTCTCAATTCTGCCGTCCTCCGTAGTGAGTCCTGACGTCATATTTATAACAAGATTCAAACATAATTCTATTCTCCTTTGATTTCGTTTTACTTTTAACAATAATCATAAATACTAATGAGGTTTAATAAGAATTGATAACAGCCTCAAATTATTTTCAAGTCGCATCCATTATTAAAGCTGGTAGCGCCGATATATACATTTAATGCTAAATTATACTTTTAGTACATGTGTATTTTAAAGAAATAATTTTAATTTTGAGTGAAGGACATATTATTTCAATGATATGATTAATTTCCATTTATTTTCATCAATGCTTTTTTACCCTTTTTTAAGGATTGCATTATAAATTAATTACTTTTATCACTATTTAAAGTCTTCGATCCCCAATTAAATATTTTTATATAATTTAGACATCGATTTTTTGTAACGTGTTTTTCCTACTTATTTCCTACTTAAGTTACTGAACAAAACTACATAACATGTGTTATTGAAAAAAAAAACAGTTATTATCATTGTGGTATGAATTTATAATATAGGTACACAGGTACTCCCAATTCTAGTCGATAAGTCCTCAGTTTCTACGAGTTTACTGATCTACAAACAAGTATACGGATGACTAGTCGAGTTATCTAAATATATTGCTAGAGACAATTTTAAATACAAAAGTGGATTCTGTTTTTTAGAGTTAAACCTGGAAGCAACTTGATTTAACTAATTCATGTTATATAAAGATTATAGCATCTGGTTGAACCCATACTGTGTTATATTTTTTGAAAATTAAATAATATACCCTAAACAGTTACGAGTAGTTGTAAGGACAGGGCAGAAAAATAAAATACTTTTGTGATATTTACATTGAATAAGAATAGTATCGCAGAAGTCGTTTAAATTAATACAGAAACATTTAAAAACAACAACAAAATATAAACATTAATTAAAAAATAGCATTAATTTTCTTAAATAATTCAAATATTAATGTCACACATTTTATTAATGTTCATATCTAAAGAAAAATATTTTTAACCATCATAACAAAAATTATATAAAACATAATATTTGAACACAAATTAAATTTAAAGGTAAAACTAAGTAAATGAGAGTATTTAGGAACGTATTACCTCTAAGCAGTCAATTTTAATGCTTCTGTTTCAGCCTATACCTACTGAACTCAGTGCTAGTGTGGTTTTTATGGACTATTTTATACATACGCTTACGGTTTTAGACTGTTATGGCTAGATCGTAAAAATGATAAATCACCATGTATGTAGAGTACTTTACACAGTATGAGAGTATATTTTGTAAAAAGGAAATGTTTCTATTTCTACATAATTCTTGATATTATAGGTCTGATTTTTAAATAATTTGATGCGTAAAATTTATGAAGAAATTTTATGTTTATTTTTAATAATTGGTTTCACAACTTTAGGTCTTTGATCTGCAGTTCCACAATTTGTAAGTATAAAGTTGCTACTATGTTTTAACTCAAGACAGAATAAAAGTAAACGAAGGTATATATCAAATGTCAGTGTTAAAAATGCGGCCAAACAGTGTAAATAAGAAAAAGTTACTTCTGACTCAGGAATATTATATTCATATCTAGGTGTATTGTATGTATCTATACAATAGATATAATACACTGTCTCACGTACCCCACTGGAGGGGGTGGCATGCGCTAGGCAGTTTAATGACTAACGCGGTGCAGAACGGTGACGTGCGCCTGCGCTCTAGGCGGGGTAGTAGTGAGCCAGTGACTGTGTGAGTTATACTTACATGTAGGACCAGGGATCCTACACTAAGGAAAAGCAAAGTTCAAAAAATATTAGACTCTTTTTTAGAATCCAGTGTAAGAAGCACTTTTCAAAGTTTGCTGTATCTCTATTATAATATGTTATGTCTCTATTATTTCTCTTTTCCCAAAGAGGGTTGATGTCAGGCAGTATAGTGTGTTGTATTACATACATATGCAGTAAGTACACTTTTGTCGTAATGTTTGCGGACAGTGTTTTAATCCTGTATAGGTTCTTACTGAACTGAAATCGACAGTTATAACTAAACAATTATAGAAAAGTAAAATGTGTCATTAGTACAGCTACCTAAGCTTCCTGTAAAAGCGGAACAGTATACCTTCATGCCTACTCTGTTTAAAATTTAATTTTGAACTTGTTGTTTTTATATTTAGCTATAACGTTGAGGTTTTCAGCCAATTTTTTACTGTGCCTTACTTTTTATAATGCGATGGTACGAGTACGATTGTCACTCTAAAATTGCATGAAAATTGTATGCATATGTACGTATGTTCGTATGTATGTATCCACTTCATAAGTTTGCCTGATGCAAAATGTAATTGTGTAGTAAAACAAACAAACAACTTCCAAACTATAAAAAATTTCAGACTAAGCAAATACGAGTACTTAAATCTTTCGACAAGCTGTTATGTCGTATTAATTATGAAATGAAGTTATAGTTAGATAGTTAATTTTTTTAAGTAGTAAAATGTCTCTATTTCGAAGCATTAAACTAAAAGCTTATTCCCTTTTTTTGCTTCAAGTTATTGTTTATTTATGACCCATGACAATTTTATTGGTACGAATTTCTTGTGGAATTATTATAATTTAATAATTCAGCATAACAGACTTCACTTAATAAAATTATAATATTTATATTAAATAACTTTGAAGTGGCTCTCTTCACCTGAAATGTGACTTTCAGTAAAAACTTCTTGTAGAGGAATTATTTGGAATTGTGATTAAAAGTATTATATTTTCTTCATAAAATACGTAATTAATAAATAAATAATCATATTTGTAATGGAATTAAAATAATTAATAATAAATGATGTACAAATATGATTATTTGAAGTTTAGAACTAGGTTAACAAGGTTATCACTAGTAACAAGTTTCGAGTAAGACAGCTGACACACCACGAAACCAATAAAATAGCTTGACATGGGACTTTTAATATCGACTCACAATGTGACGGGACTTTTAATATCGTTGTAATTTGACAGGATACTTTTTGGCTATGATAGAATATGAGGTGATAAGCATTCTTTTACAAATAGTACCTTTAACACCTCATTTCTTATCACTTTGAATAGTTTTAACTTATTAAAGTGATTATATGAGTTTTTAATACAGTTTCTTTTATATTTATTCAAAATATATATTTAAATTTCTATAACACATCTCACATTGGAATTAGTAGTAACATAAGAAGTTTCAATTCGTGTGATGACCAAAAGAATCTTATAATTTTCTATACTTTAAACAACCTTAGTCATAATAAAATACAATTCGTACGTAAGCATTTGCATAATGATACATTAACTTTTTTTGTGTTAGGTAAATTTATAAGTAAAATTGTATAAAAATTACGAGTGACTGAAATCAAATTTAATTTAATATTCAATTTTAATTTGATGAAGACTTCTTAAATAAATTTATAAAATTACCTACGCTTTCAAATAGGGGCACTTTAATTTTTACTGATGAAGTAGCTTCAATTTCCAGATATTTTGTATTCCTTTAGTTTTATACAAGTTTACAAAAAATGTTGCTTATATTTTATTAATGTCAGTATCAATTGGTTTTGTTCTAATTTATTTTAAAAAATCTCAGATATTATTTATAGTGATGAAAGTGCGGGTGGTGATTTAAATTCCCAGCTTTAGCCAGGTTCTGCCTTATATGTTGTGAATAGGTTTGGCTAATTGTTTTTATAAAGCGCGACCCGCACAGCCATCCACCCCACAAGGAGGCCCCCTGCACACCTGCACACATCACTCTTTTAGCGGCGACCACTGGGCAGCGCACCAGGGCTGCTCCTATGAGCCCTCTGGCGATCACGATCTTTCCAGCTTTGACGAGCTCCGGGGGGTAGTCACCAGTTCGAGTGACGGCGGCCGCAACCTTCTCAGCCGTGACGGAATCATCCAGCTCGTATTCTTGCAGTACCACGCTTTTTTGCGGTCTGGACACCGTTAAAGCTTCATCTTTCGGGGCCTCCATGAGTTTTTCGGCTAGGGCATCAGCTTTGGGGCCGCCGGTCGTCCCAGAGACCTCAAGGATGCGGGCACACGTGCGAGTAGCTCTGCACCTGAGTCCAGCAATCCCCAGTCCTTGCAGGTCGATTGCCTCTTGCTCCTTAGTCAATATACCGGCATAGGTGACGCCAGCATCGACGACCTCTGGCTGCAGCGCCAGCGTTACAGCAGCAGAGTTAGAAGCGCGCATACTCTTAGCCTGTCGACGGTTTTGTCGTCGCCGACCCCACCAACCTCTCAGTCTTTCGACCGACTTCCTCCTTCTGTCCCGTCCACTGTGCCCTCTGCTATACTAGAGGGACAAGCGGAGTGATGCTCCTTGTCCTTCGTCTGGTCCTTCCCTCCGACCCTATCCGTTATCCAGTAGTGATTCCTGGGCTGTCCACGCTGCCACTCTTAGTCTGGCCCTCCACCCCAAGCCTGTCCGGCATTTTAGAAACTTCTGGTATAGCCTTGAAGATCATTGGAGCATGCAAGACCCCCCACCACGACAAGGTGGCTCCCCCCAGGGGGGGGGGGAGTTTATTGAAATAAAACTCATAGCTATTAACCTGCAGTTGATAGCTGGTTTATACCACGTGACCTCATAAGCAATACAAATTAAATAATAATAAAAATAATAATAAGCGTTTATTGGTTAAAAAATAACACCACTACAAAACAAATAACAAACAACAAAATAAAAACAGAGCAACAATTATCCTATGTATACGAAAAAGGAAAATAAAATAAAATAACAACTACACCCAACTACAACAGGAAAAATATTAAGTGAAAAATCAATAACAATAATAATAATAAGTGTGCAGCAGTGTATTTTAACCAAAAGGAGAACCACTCAGTAAAAAATAGAAGCAATGTTGCTTCTGCACTGATTTTCAGTGATCTCCTAATGTTGAGGTACTGACAAATCATTCACCTCTCTCGCGGTAGAGGGGGGAGCGAGAGGTTTATACCTCTCGCTCCCCCCAAACTTTTATAAGTTAAATCTCTCTATAACCTACTAAAAGACTAGGGCCTGTCCAGAACCAACATTAATTCATTCTTGGAACGTACGTCGAAGGCAGCCCTAGCAGGTTCTTTTCAAATTTGGTTAGGTAGAGAGAGGAGCTTGGACAGTGGAGGTGGGCGTATAACGCGCGTTAGATAAGGGGCCCCTTAAACCTGGGTCGCAAGTCCCAGGCACTGTTGAAGCTCCTCTCCCTGCAATGCGATGGACTCAGCACCCGCACTGTGAATCCATCTTATGCTAAGAGGTTTCGTCTCTAGTGTAAGATATTTACAGGTGAATATTTCTTGAAAATATAATATTACAGAGACATCTATAGGTGGATATTATAAACCTCCTCAATAATCGTCTTATAATAATCACGGTGGGTAGTTAAAATTAAAATACAGTTTTAAAAATCTTTAGATTAGATTTTGGGTTGCCATTAACTTATTACTCGAACTATTTGGTACGGAAAGAACTTGAAAGAGTTATGTACTTGGTCTAAGTTTGACAGTACAAAAGTCACCTTAGTGACTAAGCATAGTATTTAATCTAGATTTGATGTTGATTGTAATTTTTTACTGTTATTGATTAAGTAATGGTATTTCATTTGGTTTTTAAAATAAAGGTAAATATTACAACCACAGCAGGACTGACGAGATGCGAATTCACGGAATTCATAAGATTATAAAAAGAAATGGTTAACATTATGTGCTAATTAAAGTAAAACATGTATAAAACAGTACCTTAAATTTGAGAGTTACTTTGGGAGTTCGAATTGTGTTGAGTATTAATTTCATAAGTTATCCCACAAATAAATTGAATAATAGTTTGATATTAAGAAAATAGTATTTTTTTTATAAAAATGCATAAACAGAGTAATCGAAAGTTTTACATTCTAAGGCCTCGTGAAAACTAACCTTAATCTATTAAGATAAGTCCATGATTGTCAATTACTAATACAGCGATAACTGTACTTAGATTAAAATTTGCTTAGTATGTTTTAATAAAAATGTAAGTTTTTCTCTCGCGTTCATATACTAAATCTTCCAAAGTTTCGAAAGACCTTAGGATTAAGTATATAGTTTGTAAGATATTCAACGTACAAAGTCTTCAAATTAAATAGATAGTGCAAAAGTTTGTTCTCTATGTGTTAGTAATATCAAATTGTGCCAACGCAAATATGGAGCGTTCTGTTCTAAGAAATATTTTTTCTCTAAAAAATATTAAAAGTACATCACATGGTAGAAAGTTTTTTTGTATTAGTGATTGTAATTGTAATATTATTTTTTATGGTTCCTACCTATGTTGACGAGCATTATTATTTAAGCTAACTTTTTTTCTTTCGTTTTTTGACATAACATTATTAATTGTTTTAATTAAACAGAAGATAAATTGAAATAAGAAATAACCGTTGTAATTTTGACTTTAGATATTAATACTGTAAAGATTTGTGATCTTATAAAAACTTAACTTAGTATGCATGGATTGTAACTTTTATTCATATTACAAATATTTGCTTGAATGTGTCGGTAATTAAATAATGTTTCAATAAAAAAACTGCGAAGTGTACTCTGATGGTAATAGAATGCCATAATTTACAGTTATCTGTAGTGCCAAGAGAAAAATCCTGGTTCAATGGCAACCGGAGAAATTCTCTTCAACAAATTCTCTTTCTCTGAAAGAGTTAAATGGATCTTAAAAAGATACAAAATTCAGTCTTTAAGTATCATGTCTACCAAGGACGCGTTAGTCATCTCCAGATTGCAATAAAATAATATAAAACCTGCTTAGTTTAATATTTGTACGGATGATAAATATATATATTTTATTAATTATGCAAAGTATTTCAAGTAAATTAATGAAAATTTAATAATCAATCAATTAAGTAAATCCCTTCTAAATACAATCGTTACTAAACAATAATAAAATGTAATTAGATTCATATATTTAGAAATCTGTTTAAACGCTAGTTTAAAGATAAAAATGAAAAGCATTATTGAAACGTATTTTGTACCATTTTTCCATTAAGATTAAATTTATATTAAGTGAACTAACTACGAAATGCACTTAAGGCGTGAAGTGCTTGAGATTGATAGCATTTTGCCGTAAAAGGTATAGCGAAACAGGAAGATAGAGCAATGGTTTCATCTATGATGTAAAATTATTTTATTTAATAAAACTAGCATGGTTCGGAAAAACATATCCGTACAATATTAGTTTCATTTAAATGAATAAAGGTCGCAAAAGTCTTGGAATTGATTAAGACTCACACTTTTCGTTTTATGTATATAAACTAAAAAAAAATCAAGTGAACATCTCGGCAGAATATACTATCTCCAACTAGCTATTGAAATAAAATAACCACATCTTGGCACTAGATAAAAAAGTGTTTATATCACTTCAAAAGATCTTTAATCGATGTAGCGAACTCGAAAGAAAAGCTCCTTACTTGTTTTTTAAATGATAGCCATGTATAATAATATGATTTGTACGGACCAACTTCTAAATTGAAATTGTAAAATATACAAAATGTCAAAAATTTATTATTATACAATTATTTTTTATTTTATGTTTTGAAATCATTTACGATTTCATTTTATATTAAGTGATATCAAAACTTAAAATTTAATATATATATAATAATATATATATAAAATGCATCGCTCACTCACCAAATCTTTTTTCGGTTGGGAAATTATTATTATTTTAGGTTGGAAAGACAGTCATTTCCTACACTATTTAAATTGGAATCTATGTCACACAACAACATCGAAATAAAATACAATTTTTATATATTTTTTTTAAATACTTTTATGATGTCCATCAAACAATTAATACAATTTATTAAAATATTCCTAATATAGTTTTATTAAAGATTACAGTATGCTTAAGTAATATATACATTATATAATTTTCCCTTTATGTTTTCTCCTATCGTAAGCTGAATTATCACTCCGTCTTAGTTTTTAATAGTTCTTCCGCGATGAAACTCGAGCGATACACAATTCATCCATCGAAGTGCAATCCTCTGCAACTTATCTAGATCGATGCCTCAATTCTGCTCTTAACTATAGTATACAAAGTAAAACTGTCATTTCTTTATGTTTTTACTAGAATCATTTAGGATTGCGAATACAATATAGAAAAAATATTATTTGAGGCAGTAAAAACTTCATTCCTGGAAATGATAATATTCCTTATAAATTTATTAGTATTTAAATATTTCACACTTTATCATTATTAAAATAGACAAATATGAAAATAATTTGGTTTTAGTTTTGCAGTAGCCTAGTATTTTAACGTTTCCGACTACGGAACCACGCTTGTTGGACAGTGTGAAGTGAAACGGTCGCCGAGGTCTCAATATATCATTTATTACTGCTTCCTAGTCCATTTAAACGCTTATTTATTCGTATCTTCATTTTTCAAGCCTTTGTGAAACATATTTTGTCCGCCGTTGGAAATCATACCGACCCGGAATATATGTACTTTAATATTTTAGAAGCTGGATTTTATTGTTAATTTAAATTACAGCGTTGTACAACTTTGAGAGCAAAATAGTAGCACCTTACTAGGGTAATAAGAAATATATCAATATTTTTCTTTATATAACTATTTTCTAGTATTACGTAAAAAAATATTTGATGAATATTGTAAGTGACTATCCAGAAAAATTCATCTCGAATAAGAATAAAAGTAATAATTAAAGTAAAAGACATAAAAATACATATATTAGAATTCACACTGTGGTGACAGTAACATAAGATATATTCTTTACGTGCACTAAAATAGATGTACTGAAGTTTATTGGTTAATTTGTCGGACCGCAATTGAATAAAAAAACTATCCTCTATTGACGAGGGAGTAGTATGTATTTTTTTAAAATATTACTATGAAGTTAATAGGGATAAAATGTTTGTAAAACTTTTAGGTTGTTAGTGCTCAAAATTTCAATGAAAGAAAATTTTTCAGAAATATTTAAAAATGCTCTTTATCATTTAAAGCAGGTATACAAAACTATATATTTAAACAAAATAAAAATTTAATAATGAAAAAGTTCTTTAAAAACTTCAAGAAATTTTACTTTTAATGCCTGTTTAAGTTTAGGTATATACAATGTTTTTTTTGACACTTGTAAAATATTTCTTGACATAGTGAAGATGTCTAAGACTTTTTCCCAGACTCGTGAATGATTTATTATGACTTTAAAATATTTTTGTAAAGAATTATTTCATTGAGTTTTATTATAAGGGTTAATAAATAAGTTAGTACACATAACCCAATTTTATTTATTATTTATATTTCAGAGTTTTAGAGAACTCTGAAATATAAATAATGCGACAGAGAACTGCGACTCAGAAATTTTTAAATAAAACCGATTGCTTTATTATTTCACCAACGCTGGCGAGGTTAGCGTCAGAACGGTAGTAAAACGTTTCGTTTGCCCACTAAGCCGATTATCGTATGTAATCCGAGCTCACTGTGACACTGGGCTCGAGG